CTATATACGTCCCACATTTCTGGCAAGGTTTTAGGGCGAGGGATTGTCCACTGCGCGAACTTACCAACACATAAAAATACATATAACAAAAAATATATTTATTTTTTATGAAATATATTTTATATGTAATTTACAGCGGGCGCTTATTAATTACATTTTTATGTAATTTAATTTAATTAGTTGTAATTGTAATTTAATTATATTTTTATGTAATTTACAGCGAGCGCTATTAATTACGCTTCAACGGCTCCTGCAGGGCATTATCTTTACATATATATATTTTTTCTGAACATATGTTTGTCATTGAACTCCTCCCAGTGCGTGTGTGTATCTCCGGACTCCTAAAGGGCTACACCGATTTTGATGAAATTTGTGTGTGTGTGTGTGTGTATGAATGGGTGGTTTAGATTCTCAATTGGACCCGGTAGGTATCACTGCTATCGAGATCCAGAAATCACCCGTGCTAAGCCGTTTTTTTGTGTATGTATTTGAGTAGTATCTTTATAAAGATCGGATCACAACTAGTTTAAATATACGTTCTCTTATATACAGAAAAAAGCTTATTTGCTTTCGATAAATAGCTGTAGCTATAAGCTAATATCTGAATATATTGTACTTGTTTGCGGGTAGTTTTAAAGTAGAATTAAAGCTGTTGAACATACATGGCGTCGCGCCGGGGAAAAGCGGCGGCTTTGTACGTAGACAAACGTTCACACTTGTCGGTGGCCTATATGACATTTTTGTTTTTATTCTTACACACCTTCATTTTGTTTCATGTTATTGTGGATCAAACAATGGCAGACTATACTAAATATTCTTTCTACTGAAAGTTTTTTGAACCAGACTAGTTTCAATTATCTCTAGATATTTGTTAATATTGCAGTATTGCAAGCAAAAAGGCATTTTGTGGCATATTGGTTACAAAAAATATTTTTAATTCAATTAACGAATTCCTGAAAGTGACTAAGATTTTAGGGGAGAAGTGGCATAAAGGAGCCAGGTTTTGAAAGAGCCACTTACATTATTTTGGTAGTTTATGAACAGATTTGATTGGTAATTGTATTTTTAAGTAGTAGCACTGATTCCCCGTCACCCACAAACATTTGACAGTCAATGGACACCGGTACATCTAGTCAAAAATTTTGGTACTAAGTAAGTATTTTGCTACACTTAACTTGTTTTTTTAGTATTTTATTGTAAAGAAATCTAGGTAAATGGATTGTCTATTGAGTTTGTGGCTGTACTTGGCCTTGCAACTACGTAAAAACTGAGCCGCAAAAGTTTTGATATCGTTGTTATTTTAAAGGTTATATTATTTTAAAGAATAAGTTATGAAAGAGCCGGGCGACTGGGCCTTAAAATAGCTGGCTCTTTCATAACCGACTCTTTCATAACCCTGCATTTAATTTTTGTAAATAAAATAAATTAATAGTAAATATGCATTTTTTCATATATTATTAAAATATTTGCTTCAGATATTACATTATGGAGAAGCCTAGTCCAAAAAAAGAAAAAGACCATAAAAATAGGTAATTGAAGAAGCAGTCAGTGAAGTTTTGGAGAAAGATCAGTCCATAAACAAAACTGCACTTATCTTTGATATATCGAGGGCATACTTAGCTAAACTAGTTTAAAAACTAAAGGCTTTTTAAACTAGTTTAAAACAGCTTATAAATACTGTCCTAATATAATAAATAAGCAGGTTTTCACAACAGACCAGAAGAATATGCTATCAGTTTTTTTAAACTGCCTCTAAAATGTAATATGGCCTAACGCGGCAAGAAACTAAGAAGCTGGCATTTGAATATACGATGACCAATGATATCACTCCAGATAAATGGAAGGAAATTAGAATTGCGAGTGATAATTGGCTCAAAGCGTTTATGACTAGACACAAAGATTTAACTGAGAGAAAACCTGAAAGCACTTCTCTATCCCGTGCCATAAGTTCTAATAAACCTAATGTAAACACATTTTTGAGAAATTAAGCACTGTTTTGCGAATATAAACTTTTCCTTCCCATATGATTTTTAACGCCAACGAAACAGTCTGCAGCATCGTCACCAACCTCCTAAAGTCATAGCTGAAAGAGGTTCGAAACAAATTGGGTAAGTTACCTAGACTGAACGAGGAATATTGGTAACAACTCTTTTATTTATTAATGCTGCTGGTAGTTTTTTATCGCCTATTTTTGTATTTCTTAAACTAAACTACAAAGATCATATTTTAAATAATGTTCTGTCTGGAGCTCTAGGATTGGCTCAAGCTTCTGGATGGATGACTGAAGATTGTTTTGCGCTTGAACACTTTGTGACGCATGGAAGGCCATCAAAAGAGAATCCAAAATTAATATTTTGTTAGTACTGCTTTTTAATTTTTTTAATAGTGGAATTATTACTGTTTTTCATAATTTTCACAGTTACACCTTATAATACAGACTGGCTCTTTCATAACTTCTAGTAACTCTTTCAATGCCGAAATATTATGAAAGATCCAAAAACCAAAGTTTTTTAAATGAATATTTCGTTGATTTTTCCATAGCGTTCATGGTTTTTTCGTTTGTAATGTAATTGAAGAAGAAAAAATTAACATTTCTTACATTAAAAGTATGTTTCTTTGCTCCGTTTAGTAAACTTGCTCTTTCATGCCACTTCTCATATGATAAATCCATGCATTAATAAATCAATTAAATGTATAAAGGTCACACTTATTATAGTGTAATTTTAGAGATTGTATTTTATAGATTTTAAAGTTTATTTTCCATTACAGCCAATAAAAGCCCACTGCTGAATATAGGATTCTCCCATGGATTGTCTCATAGGAAGGATTTTGCCACACATGCCACACTTGGCAAGTGGGTTGGACAACCTTAGTTTTTTTAATATTTAGAGTTGTTATCAGGAAGATGCTGCTCCCATTCTTCTGTTTTAGTTCTCTCTGCGATCTTACGACCTTTACGACCCGCACTGGACGATATGGTGTAATGGATATTCTTACGCCACTATACAGTAGCATTTCTTTGTAAGTTTTTCATCATATTTTAGTGTAATGAAACTTTTGCTGATTTTTTTGGCTCCCGTATTTTTCCACATTTGTCAGTTCCTTCTGTTACAATGACATTATTTACATCCCACACTAGTCCTCAGGAGTGACAACGTCGGCGTTAGGGTGACCCAAGATCCGCCCCAGCCGCACCTTAACCTACTGTCAAAAAGTAACATGAAAAAAACACAATACGAACTGAAGATCCAATGTCAATGTGGCTAAATTTGTTGGAGGAGTCTTTTGAATTTTTTGAGCATTTAATTTTAAGTTGTCTACAGATTCGTCTCTTTTGTCCTGAATATTTTTTTCGTTGTTGCATTAACTGCACAACAGCTGCGATCCGTAAACTTCACCAAATTAAGATATTCCACAATAACATGAACATTTCCTCTACACGAGTAACACGAGTGTGCTCCTGTACATTCAGTTTACAATTATAATTATTCCACTAGATTAGTCTAGTAAGATATATTATTAATCGTGCTCGTATCATATTTATATTCGTAGTAAGACAGGAACCGCTGTCATATAACTATATTACGGTATATAGCTATATCGCTAAGCATATAAGTATATCACGTCTTCAATCATCTTACTGCTGGTTACATAAATGCACAAAACACACAGTGTTTTTTTTTATTACACATTTTAAGCTTTTTAAATGCTGATACTTTAAGGAATATACGTAGTTTGGTTTATTCATTTCTAATGTAATTCATATAAAATATAACTAATATTTTAAAAATAACCATGCACATTTTACACTTTTCTAACAAATTAACTTCACCGTCATAAAATCCGTTAAAAATTTTACCTCACTAATTTATTCAAAATGAAAAATACTAAAAATATGTTTTATAGTGTAACCAAATGAAACGAAGAGCGTCAACTGAATGAAAATATGTTGTATTTTATTGTAGGTTTACGAGTTATCTTTATAGGGAACTAAAGCGTGTGTAGAATATTTAGAAACTTGTATTGAGTACAAGATTGTTAAAAGCTTGCGAAAATAAACCATTAGTGAAGAATACAAATTACGTCCTCATAGCCGGATTTCAACTTCTTCCGGTTAATGAAAGAAACTGTCGCCCTAATAAAACATTCATGTAGCTAAAACATTTTAAATTTTTATTTCAGTAAAATTAGAGGCATTTGGACTTATGTAAAATTATAGTATCCTTTGCCGTAGGTAGGTATGTAGGTCTTAGCAGAGAAAAAGAGGAATTTAACCTAGATGATTCCACTTTTCATATTCAAATTATTAAAAATTAATCTTATTGCCTCCCTTCATCTGAAAAATCACAATCACTCAACCTAGTGATGTGCCGCTCTATACCTCTCTTACCGGTACGAGGTTGTCACTCAAGAAACTTTCTTTCCCATCCGTGGTCTGGTTTTCGAACTATATGTGTATTTCATACGTGATAGAGCCATACTGCAGCAATAATATAGTTGTAGGAAGAATAGGTTGGCATGACCGGGGAAGGACCACGCTCTAAAAAATACCATCTTAAAATAGCAGCTTAATGCTACTGTGTTTCGTATGGTGAGTGTATCGGAGACCTGTTTTACTGGATACAAATTATTCCATCGTAGTCCTCAGGGATGGCAACGCATCCGCATTTTGATTCTTTATCAGGTGGACAATGTACTTACTTGTCAACCTTCATCATCATTTTCATTACAGCTCTTCACAAGTCCAGTGCTGAACATAAGCCTCTTTTATAGAATGCCACAAAACACGCTCCTGAGTCACCTGCATCCACTTCCTGCACGTCTTTCCAGGTCGTCACTCTATCTAGTGGGGGGCCGTCCCACACTTCGCCTACCTATACGAGGTTGCCACTCGAGAACCTTTCTTCCCCATTGATCAATCTAAATCTATTATTTTTAAATCCCTAATAGTTTATCGCGTGTACAGCGCGAGCTTGCCGTGTGGGCGCGGTGATGTCGGCATGGAGGTGGTGTTGCCGCTGGCGGTGGTCTGCGTGCTGGTGAGCGGGGCGCCCAACGCGACGCGGCACCGCACCGACACGAACGACCAGCCCCTGCTGCCCGAAGATGAGGACGACCTACAGCTCGATTACTATGATGAAGAACGCTTCAATATATCGGGTGAGTAATTTTGTTTTCAATAGAGTACCTAGGATTTCGTCTGTATGGGTATCGACTTATTACCTACTTCTGCAATGTCTGCACTGCTATGTTCAATTCTGAAGGGCAAAGGGAGCCAGAATAATGCCAGAACGTGACGCATGAGTGGAAACACATCTGTAGCCTTGTTTGTTTAAACGTGGCTGCAGCAGCCACTTACATCAGGTGGAAACTTGGTAGATGGCGGAGTCATGAACCACATCCACCGCTGGGGACTTGATATCTGCTACTTTCGAGTGCCCCGTGACCTCCACGTATAAGGATAGTGTAATGTTGCGCCTTAGATGAGAATTACAAAGGGAAGGAACTGTCCTCTCCTGATAAGGGGCTGCCATAGAGTAGTCGGTTTTGTTGAGAAAGGGTTTCCTGTCAATATGCGACGAAGGTGGCTTCCCCTTGTTAAAAAAGGTGTCCATGGGATGCAGTATCCACCTACCATCAGGTGGGCTGAAAGTTCGATTATCACTTCAATTTATTTAAAAAAAGTTTGTAAGAGGTGTAGGTACCGGTGACAAATGAGCACATAGCAGACCAATGTGTGACCAATGACAACCACACGGCAAAGCCTTTTAACGACAACATTAAAAAGTTCCAGTAAAGTGTTCCACCAAAAAGAACAATTCTCGTCCATCACTACTCAAAACACATCAGCATAAAGCAGTTATTTTGCCGGCATTCAGTCAGAGCGTGGTTTTTCCCGATCGAATCAACCTATTTATTCTGCAGTCATATAGCTGCAGCGTAGCTCTACCACGTATTAAAAATTATCACAACAAAGATGGCGCATTGCATTTCTTAAAATATAATTTAATAATTTATTTCGACGTTAAGATCTTTTTGCTTCGAATGTCGTATAAACCGTTGCACAATTCGTTTCGTTATTGCAACAATACGATTTTATCGCTCGTTGCAAGTGACAAAAGTTTTCTTCGAAGCTCTAACATCGCAATGAAAGGGACAACTCTGCCTATATTTTGCTTATTCACTTTACTCGATTATGCAAACAATGCAGCCGCGACTCCGGCCTTGCTCCACTTCGCTTTATTTCGTAGTTGACTCGAAGGCAAAGACCTTCAAAAGAATTTACCATCGTCCTCTATTAGTTTATGCCTAGTTATTATGATTAAAAATGTTGTTGTGTTTGTAGTGCAGAAGATTCATGAAAAAAAAAACCGTAACAAATTGGAACGACTTGGTTGTTTCATTTTAAGTCGCCTTTAGATAGTATTGTTACGAGCTTGAGGTTCGTGACAATAAAAATTGCCGATAAAATTACCTAAATTAACACTTTAATTTACTTTACACAAATTAAAACTAAAAACACTAATAATTAAACACACTAATTCACTTAATTCCGCTCCGAAGCTTCGCTTGTGTCGCCGAGTTCAACTCTCTCCCCGATCGCATCTTGCAGCGCCTACTTATATAAATTAGCAAAATATCCAGAATGTTCAAGTAAACACGCGCAAGGTACCGAGAGTTCGAGTTTTAAACTTCAAGAAGTTTAGTTCTTTGGTTCGAGACTAGATGGCGCTAGTGCGCCGATTTTAGCGCGTAACACTGCCCCCTCCTAAGACATGCTCGTCCCGAGCATTATCGGTCCCATAATAACGCGCTAGGCGATCCACATGGACGATCTTAGGAGTCCCTCTTGCGCCTTTCTGTAACGGCTTCGCAATGTCAAGGGCTGTTCTATCCCGTGGTGCACCAACATTGTACAATTTCGGTGCTCCTCTACTACGTGTCTGAGGTCCCCGCACGGCCGCACAACTTGTACATGTACGACACCAATCCTCGACATCGTCACGATAATGGACCCAGTAAAACTGTTCTCGGACCTTCAGTAGAGTTCGTTTAACTCCCAGATGGACTCTTGAACGACCATTATGGCACAGCTGTAGAACATTCGGCACTTTAGCTTTAGGGACAACCATTTGCAAACGACAGCTGTCCCTTCGACCATTGTCCCATTTACGGCACAGGACTCCATCCTGAATCAGCAAGCTGTCCCATTGGGCCCAATAGCTTTTCGTGGTTGAACTCATCGCTGAGACGTCCCTCCACTTAGGCTTGGTAGCACGGGCCTTCATTCATCCCAGAATCGGCTTGATGTCCGGATCTTCCTGCTGTGCATGTCGTAGGCTGTCCTTCCACCCGTTGCTGAGGTGGTCTGTCCTGAGCATCCTCACGGATACCACTTCCTTACTCTCTTGCCTACTACAATGGTTGCAATCTTCAGGACAAGGTCTTCTTGTCAATGCATCTGCGTTGCCGTGAGATTTCCCCCTGCAGTGTCTGATAGTAAAGTCGTATTCCTGCTGCTGCTGGGCGGTGCTGTTAGCCGCACTTCCTTTCTGAGACCGTTCACCTTCCCTTTCTAGGGTGTGCTTAGGGCAGGTGGACCGAAGATGGCCCCTTTCCTCACAGCCATAGCACCTAGGGCTGTATCTTTTATTGTGGTCGCGAACCGTAACTGCTGTAGTCTCCCTAGCGTGAGGTGAACGATGATCCTGTCGCCGCCAGGCAGTGCCGTTAGCTGTACTACCCTCTCGAGATCGATCAACTCTCCTTTCCACGGTTAGTTTAGGGCAGCTGGATCGAAGATGGCCCTTTTCCCCACAGCCATAGCACCTAGGGCTGTATCCTTTGCTGCGGTCACGGTCTGTAGCTGCTGCAACCTCCCTGACGCGATGGGAACGATGATCCTGCCGCACGGCTTCCACCTCCAGTGCAAGGGCCAAGGCGTTCTTAAGCGTCTCGTGGTGCTCGAGCCTCACAGCAGCTCTGACTTCCAGGTCACGGATGCCGTCGATGAATGTCTGCACCAGGTTCCCTTCAATGAGCGCAGGTACAGACCGGTATGCTTTTCGCACCAGCTTCTCCACCTCTAGAGCCCACTGCTGCAGGTTTTCGTTGATGCGCTGCACGCGATTATATTTAAGCTGCGCACGAAACACGTGTTCCAGGTTAGCGTCGCCATATCTCACCTCCAATGCCTCAAGGAGTTGCTCATAAGTTACTTCCTCACCGAGAGCTTCCAGAACTGTTAAGGCCTGGTCGCGCAGGCCTAGTGTGAGAGCAGTCATGGCCTGATTTTTATTCCAGCCGTTCACCTTCATAACAGCCTCGAACTGGATTTTGTAGGCTGACCAGGAAGAGGTACCGTCGAACGGTGGCACCTTGAACCCACGTAGCGAAGGTGTTGTAGCTACTACGGGAGCTGTAGCTCCATCTCCAAGTTTGAGTTCGTCCAGTGATTTCTTCATGTCAGCCATTAATTAACTGCAATGATGATTAGCATTTTTAACTTTAGTTAACTCATTGTCTTTGAATTCTGCCAATTGAAGATAAATTTATAAATATCATACGTTATTACATGTAAATTTTCGCTACGATATTCTTACACTCGTTGCTTTCTGTCTCTTATTTTAATGACAAACTAACGTGACAGAGTTGGATCAGATTATAAATACATTCTACATTATGAGTCAACGCAAAATAAATCAAAGCCATACCGGAAAAATATTTAGTTCTTTGTAACTTTTGCTTTTGTTATTATAAAAAGGCAAACGAACTTATAGTCTAGTCTACCTGATGGTAAGTGGCTAGCGCAGTCCGTGGACACCTGTAACAAATTTCAAATAAAGAAAGCTACAGAAGCGTTGCCACCTCTGAGGAATCAGTTGGAATACCTCACATCATGTAATTATACTATAATAATAATTAATTGAACATTAGTCGACATTACCATTCTGTGTGACGAGAATACGTCGACATTACCATTACGTATGACGAGAACGTAGACATTACCATTGCGTATGACGAGAACGTCGACATTACCATTCTGTGTGACGAGAATACTTCGACATTACCATTCCGTATGACGAGAACGTTGACATTACCATTGCGTATGACGAGAAAGCAAACGAAATATCTGCCGGTCTGCCGGCCGAAATTATTTCTGTAGTCGTTTCTGCAAACGGGCTAATCCAAGTAAGCCTCGCGGGTCATCTGAGGCGGCTGAGACTCCGTGACGGAACGCTCCAGGCTCAAATGCAGAAGGCGGTGTTCCTCGATACCGCCCGCATTGTTCGCCGATTTCTTTCAGTTTCCCTCTAACTCTCGGCCGTTCGGTCTCTCCTGCCGAAGCATTTGTTTATGTTAGTATGTTAAATATTACTTGATTTATGTATATTCACCATTTCTTTTTCTATATTTATTCAGTCCAATCCATCTCCATCTCCAGATGAGAACACTCTTATAAACACCTCAAAATCTTAATATATAATTATTAATTATACACTGAATGTTATTATTTATGATATTTTAATGATATTTATACATTGAATATGTGGAATTTCTGATTGCTGCACTAGAAATTATACCTGTACCTCAGCAATCAGCGCCCTCTCCCTATTTTATGGCGTAATGAGTTAACAATAAAGGTTCCAATCTTATTAAACAAACGAATTAATTCGTTCAAGGTTCCAATGAATAATAACGATAGAAACATTATATGTAGTAGTTGAATATTTACTTAATGTGTGAGCTAAGTGTGAGTTGAGTGAGTAAGCGTGCTTGTATTCGTACGTGCTTACGTAGGTTCCTGTGTGTGTGTGGGGGGGGGGGTGTATCTTTGCGACCGTTTATTTGAGTTTGTGTGCGCGTGTGTATGTGTTTTATATCAAATAGCAGGGCACTTACTGCTATTTGATAACAGGAATAGGTAGGGAATGGTACCTACCGAGATGGACTTCAAGGCAATAAAATGTTTATGTATAAGTTAAATGTAATTATTATATTAAACACTTCGATGAAATCAATTACCAATGACTATGTTTACCCTTTTGAAAAGGTTTGATATTCTTTGCAAAATGGAGCATGATTAAAGTGCTAGTTAAGGCTTGAAATGAAAGGAGACGAAGACTTTTTCCTATATTACTTTATTCTAATAAACGTTT